CCAAATCTATCTGTTATATACTGTTATAAGCATCTCATTTCCAGTACAACGTAGCTGATGGCGAGTGTGTGAAGGTCATCTAGTTTTCCAGGAAATAGTCTATTTCTCTATGTACTGTTATAAGCATCTCATTTCCGGTACAATGTAGCTGATGGCGAGTGTGTATGTGAAAACAATGCCATAGCTATGACCAGTTCGCTTTCCAAATCTATCTGATTTCTGATAATTCACTTTGGTACTAACGACCTGAAACAATCAGATAAGACTGTTTCTCAGAACTTGAAAATACAATAGCACACATCTTTAACCTCAGACCACACATTAAACTGGTTATCTCTAGTGTAATATATAGACGTGTGAACAGACACACTTCTGCTGATTGTAACACACAAAACAGCACAATATTTAAACAACTCAACAACCAAATCCAACATTTTAATGAATTAACCAAACACCTATGCAGACTTAACCCCCAACTTGCGTTCATCAACCACACAAAGCTAAATACCACTCACTAGTTTTCTTGCACGAGATGGACTTCACCTCAACTTTTGTGGTATTTTTACCCTGGCCTCAAACTTCTAGTACTTTATTTCCCAAAACATTCTCCCACTCTTGTCTTCTTCTTCTAAGTTACTTCAATCATCTCCTTTTTTCTACTTCTAATAGTTCGTCTAACCTTCCCCATCCAAATTCTACACTTCTCCCTATCTCAGAAGCTAACAATGTCTCCCGCCTCTATCACCCAATTAAACACTCATTCACTCTCTCACCGAGATCCTTCAAGTTCTGCTAGAGGACTAAACACAAATCACACTTCCCCCAAAACATCACATTCTACAAATAGCAACATTCGTTCTTTTTTTTACCAACAAACCCTTCCACTTCATTATCTTCAAAACCACACCAATTCACTACCAGTGTAAACACTAAGTGTTCCACACTACAGTCTTCACCAGTCGATTAGTCTCTTGTAGAATTACCTTCATTAGAACACAGTAGTCTTTCATCTGTTAGCATAAACTCTCAGAATGACCAGCAATGCACTCCACACTCTGAAGAAGATAGTTACTCCCCTCTTTCTTCTCTCAAACTTAACCATCCTCTATCTCACGATTACAATGATGCCCTCACACCAATATCCGTCAGCATTCAACGTGAACCAAGAAACAAATCACTCAACTACAGCAGAAAAAAACTATTTCAAAAACTTGGAAAACTCACTGAGAAACGCATAAAATATTGTTAACATGCCAAGTCGCTAGTGCATAACATAAAAACCTGAAATATACCTCAATCTCTCACATTAAAAGCACCAAAAACAATAGAGTACATGATCAGAACTTCTTCAACAAGTGGCAACAGATCCTTGAAAATTCCTCCTTAAAACTCATGTCACAATTCTGTCGATATTGTAGATAAAGAAATTTCTCACTATTCTCACCCGTACAACCCTTCACTGGAAGAAAAAGAAGAACTACAAAAATTTAGAAAGAGAACTGATACATTCCTTCTCAAAAAGAATAACAAAAATTAACTTCCTACTAATTCAAAAAGTGCTTCTAACAACACTTTTTCGAACCCTCTTTGTCCTAAAGAAACTACCATAACATTAAGTAGTCTACCAAAAACTACTAAAATCCCTTTATCTCACAATAAACAGCCTAAAAATGTTTAAAAACACTTCATCCTCTAATACGCATAAACCTTCTTAAACTGACAAATCTGTTGAAAATAACAGTGACATCATAAAACGTACAGAAAACGATAAACATTTCCAACATATCTCTAACACTGTTAATCTTTCAGACATAAATCTCTCTGAAGCAGAACTGTCTTCTTAGTAAAGGTCTCAACTTCTGCCCAAATAACAACTGTTAATGAGCCCGAACTTCTTTCTGACCTTCATAAATTCTCTAAAAAACTAAGACTTCGCAAATTCTTTTACAACAAACTCCATCCTACTGAAAATCAACATACAATGAACTTTAAAGAAGTCCTTATGGACACCTCCACCAAACAGAGAACCACATTTAGAGAGTTATATTAAAGGAGTAGAAAATTACGTAATACTGACCTTAAAATCTTCCAAGCAATGTCGTAGTAATATTAACTAATATGAAGGAAGTGCTTTAAACAATCTTAAATCAAACAACAATATCATAATAAAGCCAGCAGACAAGGATGGAGCTACTGTTATTCTTAACAAAGATGACTATATCACAGAAGCTAACCGGCAACTAGAGGACACTTTCTATAAAAAACTCCCACATGATCCTACAACTCACTTTATAAAGACCATAAAAGAACTCTTCCAAAACAATAAAATTAACAAAGAAACCTTTCAGTATTTTATACCCAGACAAGCTGTTCCTGGTAGATTTTATCTCTTACCCAAAAATACACAAACCAAACAATCCTGGCCGACCCATAATTTCTAATATATACATGGCTATTGAAAAGCCTTTGTTCATCAACACATAAAATGTATTCCCTGTACCATCCCCTCTTACTTAAAGGATACTACTCAGTTTCTTGGCATCATAGAAGATATTAATACTAATGGACAGTTACCACCCAACAGTCTTCTTTACATGATGGATGTTTCTTCCCTTTACACCAATATTCCACATGATGAAGGACTACAAACTCTAAAGTCCACATTAAATCTTTCTAACCAATCAGAATCTCAAACAGCAACTGATCTTACCAGCCTGGTTTTAACTCTGAACAACTTCGAATTCAATAACGAGCATTACAGTCAGGTTAACGGTACTGCAATGGGTACCAAAATGGCTCCCAATTATGCCAACATATTATGTGTCATATTGAAAACCAGCTTTTACAAATAAGCCCTGTAAATTCTCATACGTGGAAATGTTATATAGACGACACATTTTTCATTTGGACAGCCGGTCTTAAATCACTTAAAGAATTTATCTCGCATACAAAACAATCAAGTTTACCTGTGATTACTAACCTACCCAGATCAACTTTCTTGACGTCACTGATTTTCTAAAAAACGGAATTTCACACACTGACTTGTACAATAAACCTACACAATACCTTCACTATAAAAGCTGTCAACCCTCTCACACTAAACGAAGTTTTACCTACAGTCAAGCTCTTAGAAAAAGAAAATATGCTCAGATGAAACAGACTAAAGAAAACACATCAAGGATCCAAAACAAACCATGTTACAAAGAGAATATAAAGATACCAAAATCGACAGACAAATTGAAAAGGCTAACAACACTCAGCAGAAAAATATTCTAAATCAGAGCAATACTAATAGAATTCCTCTTATTATTACCTATCAATTTAAACTCAGAAATGTTTCATGAATTCTGAAAAAACATTTATCTTTTACAGCTCAACGATCACCTTAAACAGATATTTCCTGGAGTTCCCATTTTCTCCTTCCAAAAAAGCAGAACTCTAATAATATCCCATCTAAAAATGGTTTTCATCCATATAATAAAGCCGTTGTCAAACCTACAAGTTCATAAAAACCACTGACTCATTTTCTAATAAGCAAAATCAACGAAACTTTAAAATATCCAAAGAAATCACTTGTAGAAACAAAAAATACCATTTACCTTAT